TCCCCGGGGACCTGAATCATATTTTTACCCCCCCCCCCCAAAAAAAAAAAAAAAAAAAACAATGTTGCGCATTCCTGGAGGTACAATGTGAAACTGTTTTTCATTATCTTGTTCCCCTCCTCGAGCATCGCTAAAAGGGCACTTATGGCATATTTGGGCCTGAGTTAGCATGTATGGCAAAGTATGCTGTTGCACCTCTACACAATTGATGAAGTTAGAAATAGTCATTATGCTCATAATTCACATTTTCTGCAATATTGCCATTCACTGAAAAAAGAATCCAAAACAATCCCAAAATACAGTGAATGTATATCTCAAAACCATTCAGTTGTGTAGTTCTTTAAAAAAAATTGGCTCTCATGAGAACAAATTATGAAGTCATAATTTATTTAACAGATGATGAAGAGAAAATATTTAAGAAAATGATCAGAGAAAATACACGCCCTGGGTGTGAAAAACATATAGCTATCAATTTAACACAGCGCAGCATGATTCAATAGCCTGAGGAGCCACTTGCTTCGTCTCTCACACGTGTGAAGAATCTAACCAGTCACCACACTGACTACATTTACATGCAGTGAAAAGTCTGCTTTCTGAAACATTTGGAAGAACTCGTTGATACTTATCAGATTTTCTTTCCTGGCAGACTTTGTCATACCTTTTTGTTTTAGCCCCTTGCATGGTTACACCTTTCCTGACCCTCCTTCACGCTGTCTGAATAAGGCGAAGGAGGGGAGTGTCAAGACGAGCTCAAGTTGAATTAAAAAAACATTTTGCAGGTCACAAGAGTCCAAAGTCCATATAACGGACCTTTGGCTCGGGCTGTCAACATGGCGCCGGGCTATTTAAGTCCACACCGCCGGAATAAAAAATAGTTCCAGAGGCGAAGAGCAAAATGTCTCCGCTTCAGCTGTCCGTTTTCTGGCGTTTGTCGCTCGCCTTCTTTTTCAACTCGTTCCTCTTCTTCCTCGACATTTTCTTGGCCGTGGTGGTGGATGCTAAGTGTCACGCCGGTAACGCTACCAGCGAATCGGGAAGCAAACGCGGAAGTACGCTCCCGCGAAACCAATCAGAGGTCGAGGATCTTTTTGGAGAGGAATCTGATTGGGTGACTAAAAGCGACGACCGAGACGTGAGTGAATAATAAGATTCATAATAACAATAATTGGAGTACAAATCTTAAAGTTTCTCACACTAGATGTACTTTAAGTATTTAAAACAAACCAGTGAAAGTTTTGATTATGTTTTGACGTATTTTATTTTATTTGTTTGCATTATAAGTTCCGTCCGTAGTGGTGTAAAGATCAGTATGTTGGTTAAAGAGAGTCACTTAATCCTCTCGGACAGCGGTTATAAAATGTTACACCCCAGTGCACTCTCAGATGTCAATTAAGTGTATATTATTTATTGTAGCTTAGCTGGCTACATTTCTCTGGTGGGTACCGGGTGTGAACAAGGTTTCCGCCCGTCCCGCTTTGCGCCGCTTCTGCCGGTCATGATCGTTGCTTAGTTACGCGCTCGCTGGACACGAAACACCAGACCGCCCTGCGGGTTTTCAAAATGTCGACTACAACAGATAACAAGAGTAACAAGAAGTACTCTTGGAAAAAGTAGCATGGCGAGGAAGAGAGGGAAAGCTGTTGACTGTTTAGCGCTGATCTGGCACCAAAGAGCACATGAAGGGGTTGAGGAAGAGACTTGTTTTGTGCCCCTCCCCCATTTTTTCATCTTTTCATTTGGGTTCACACAAGTGTTTATTTTATGATATTTACTTTTATTATAGCAAAAATGTCCCCAGACAGGCTTTGTTCGGGGTTTGGGGGAGCCAAATCCTCAATTTTCTTTCGCCCGTGTGGTTCTGACGTGGCGACGTCAGGAGTGTCGCTATGCTCCACATCTGAAAGGTGGCAACTCTCAGTGTGAAGCTTTGTCTTATGTCGAATACTGTACTTTAGCTCACGACATTGCACAACACGAGCAGCCGTGGTGCGTCGAACAACAGCAACAGTTCCACGCAAACTGGTCACGTGACATTAGAAAAGAACACACAGGATGGATAGAAGAGTCGAGTGCTAATAGGTGCAATCAGATAAGACAACAAAGTACTGACTTTAAGTGTTTAAGCGCATGGTCGTTGAGAATACGACTAACTGCTTGCTCTCAATTCACTGCCTCTCACTGCAGATACAGTACAGCAAAGGACCCGATGGCCCATCAGCAATAAAACCCATTTGGAGTTAACAAATAACCCAGGCCACACTCATATACATTCAGTCCCCCCACCCCCTCCTTTGAACACTCGATAAGGCAGAACAACACAATTGTTGTGCTTTGTGCTCCACATGTTCAGGCATTGATTTCTTTGGATTGGATTGTGAAGGAACAAGTAACAACGATGGTTAGGGGAAAGTACATCAAATGAACTGTCGCATTTCATATTTTAGAGCGATGATTCCCAACCTCGGTGGCGTGTACCAGGGGGTATACGCGCTTGAGTCGACTCGAAACCTGAGTTCTGAGTCGAATCCCTCCGAGCTTGAAAAGTGGGATCAGTCGGATCCAGAACGGGGTTCTTCTAGTTCATGAAAAGTACGTAATGAAAAAAACTAATACTAAAAGTGGAAAGAAAAAAATCAGTAATTAAATAAAAACAAGAGTGCGTAAAAAAAGAGAACTGTCACTACCGTAAATTTTATGTTTACGAAACTAAAATGACAGCAAAAATTTCCTTCATTGTCATCTTTGCCACTTCATTTCCTTCATGTGCTTTTTGTTGTTGTTGTTTTTCTAGGATTACTCGGCGCTATTGCCGTGTAGAAGAAGGAAGGTTGAACAGTCGTTTGGGAATTGGACTTTGTTTTATACCACAAACCTTAGTGACCTTCTTTACCTTGCACCTGACAAATACTTATATATATAGAGAGAGAGAGAGAGAGAGAGAGAGAGAGAGAGAGAGAGAGAGAGAGAGAGAGAGACAGAGAGACTGAATTTATAAAACAAAAGTCAAAGTACATCAAATGAACTGTCGCATTTCATATTTTAGAGCGATGATTCCCAACCTCGGTGGCGTGTACCAGGGGGTATACGCGCTTGAGTCTACTCGACACCTGAGTTCTGAGTCGAATCCCTCTGAGCTTGAAAAGTGGGATCAGTCGAGTCCAGAATGGGGTTCTTGTAGTTCATGAAAAGTAATGAAAAAACTAATACTAAAAGTGGAAAGAAAAAAATCAGTAATTAAATAAAAACAAGAGTGCGTAAAAAAAGAGAACTGTCACTACCGTAAATTTTATGTTTACGAAACTAAAATGACAGCAAAAATTTCCTTCATTGTCATCTTTGCCACTTCATTTCCTTCATGTGCTTTTTGTTGTTGCCTTTTTCTCAGGATTACTCGGCGCTATTGCCGTGTAGAAGAAGGAAGGTTGAACAGTCGTTTGGGAATTGGACTTTGTTTTATACCACAAACCTTAGTGACCTTCTTTACCTTGCACCTGACAAATACTTATATAGAGAGAGAGAGAGAGAGAGAGAGAGAGACTGAATTTATAAAACAAAAGTCAGGGCAAAATCAAATCTATCTGGTCCAGAACACTTGAGCTGAATTAGTTCAATCATGTCAAAGGATGAGGGGGTATTTGTGTTTCTGTGTGTCTGCTGCATGCGCCACATTTAAAGATCCGCACACTAATTCATCAGTATAATCCACTGTTGCAAAAAAAAAAAAAGTTCGCCGTTTGTTTCTTGTGTGCATCAGTCAGTGTGTGGCTGGACTTCATGGTTGACCTACGGCCAAACGGTCTACATGGTGGGTCTACTGCTTGGATCGCTGGTGGGCGGAGCTCTGTCTGACAGGTACAATTCTTACCAGAATTGGCAAAAGTACTTGCACACTATACCTACGTAGAAGACGAAGTAAAGGTACTGTACTTGGACAAAAAAATCCCCCCAAAAAAATCCAATAATAACCAAAAACACAAAAGCTTTGTCAACAAACAAAAGTACCGTACTGTTCTTAATTTTTTCTCATGAAAAAAAAAAAAAAAACATTTAAAAATTGAAATTTTGAG